CCCGGCGAGGAGGGGGTGCGAGGGTGTCCCCCGAGGGGTGGCGGGGTGGCAGGCGACTCCTCTGCTCCCGGCCGGGCGTGGGGCAGCAGCCTTGCCATCATCCCCTGCTGCTAATGCACTGTTTTCTATTTTTAGGATCATTTAAATTTTTATTGTACAGCCAGCAGCCTTGGAAATCTGATCCTTTCTATTAAGTGCGAGGAGGCAGATGGCACGGAATATTTAAGGATTATACTCAGGTATGGAACAACAACAGCAAAAAAGCTTTGTTTAACAAAATATTTTCTCTCTGGGAGTCCCTTGGTTGGTTCGTACTGTAAATGGCAGAGCCGGGTGGGCAGCACGCAGGCTGTGGCACCCGGAGGGGCTTGGGGCGGGATGGGACGCGGCGGCATCGCCCTTCTGCAGCGTCCGCGGGGACCGCCTGACCCTGATAACGAACGAGAGGCTTTGATCCTGTCCTGGTTTCGGCTGGGACAGAGTTAATTTTCTTAGCGTTGCTAAGCCCGCTGAAACCGAGCGTCAACCTCGCCGTGGACCGGGATGACACCAGCCACATCTATCGCCGTCCCTCTGTAAGCTGGCGAGGCCCAGCGCGCCTCAACCGTTGCATCATTTCCCTCCAAACTATGGATATTTTAAGAGCTGCGGAGATGAGAAGACCAGTCGAGCCTTTGCTTACTAGCCAGGCCCAACCAGTTGGGCAGAACACCATTTCCCCACAGCTGGCGGAGCGTCGCTGCGTGCGCCCCCAGGGCTGGCGAGCGGGGGGGGGAGCCGGTGCCTCTTTGCCTCGGAGGCTCCCTGATGTCTGCTCGTTTCTTTTGCTCTGCTAGGTCCAAAGTGAAGACGTTGCATGAAAGGATCCCCCTGACAGAATTTAGCAAGATCCCTAGTATCCCCCAGATTGCAAAGGTAAAATGCTGGGCTGGGCTGCGCCTTGGGCAGCGTAGGGCGGCGTTGGGCAGCAGTGCCGGGGCTCTCGGGTCCAGGGGCGCTTGGCGGGTGGTGGTGTTGGCCCTGCTGTTGGTTTCCCAGTGATCCCAGGCAGGTCACTGGTTGAAATCTGGGGGAATAGGTGAGGAGGTGGCAGCACCTTTGGCCCATGGAGAGACCTGGGACTTGTCTTGCCGCATCCTCATTCGGGTACCAGCCAGGCCACGGGGCATCCCAATGAGAGGGCGTGAAGAGGGGAGCTGCTGCAGTCGCAGGCTGGATTTGGCTCACAGCCCTGGCGTGGCGTTTCGGCAGGACGGGGGTGTCTGCTCCGCGTGCCCGGGGACCCAGCACTGACTGCGCTTTCCCCTTCCCCGCAGTTCTTCTGTGATGACGCCTCCGGGCTGAAGTTTAACCCAGTTCTGTACCCCAAGGTGAGGTGACTTCCCCCAGGTCGGTCGCGTTTGGCAGCGAAGGTCAGACAGTTTATTCTCCCCTTTTCTCCAAGGTCCACTGACTGCTCTGACACAGAGCAGGGTGTTTGTACTGCACATTTCCAGCTCCCCACCTCTGTACCTGCCTGCAAAGGGGATGTGAGGCGCGCAGCGGTGGCGTGCCGTGCGTGCGTTGGGCAGCGGGTTAGCCAAGGGCCATCTGATGGCACGCGCCTGCCACCATCTGTTCTGTCAACTGGCCACCAAGGGCTGGCGGCACTTTGGTATTAGGCTGCCCTCAGATTATGGGGAAGGAAGGAGAGGCGACCATCTGCGGGGTGTACAACCAACCTGGATCTGGGTTTGATGCCTTCAGGCTTGCTTGAAACCCGGTGAGACGGGTTGAGCCTGTGCTTGAGAAGCCGTGCTGGAAACGATGCAGGGGTGGGTGGGTGGCGGGGGGGGGGCGGCGTGTTTTGTCTGGGTGGAAGTCCCACTGGCGACGTACTGAGACTCGCTACCTGCTCCAGGATCGCTTCTCCTCCTCTGTGCCGCAGAGACCCTCTCCTGGGAGGTCACAAACCAAATCCATCATTTCCAAGTACCTTTTCGTGGGAGACCTTTTCTGCAGCAGGCACGGCAGTGAGTTATAGGGCAGCTTCACCAGCCTTTGACGTAGCCAGGGTCAAACCGATTTCGTCCATCCTTTGTCTTTATGGCTGTTGCCATCAAAGCCTTGTCTGGAAGTTTGGGAACAGCTCATGTCCAGCTGGGGAAGGTGAACATCCCTGACAGGGCCCTCACGGAGCGAGGCTGGGACCGTGGAGCTGGGGTGCTGCGAGAATGGCTGTTACCTGCACCCAAAGGGCCTCAAACTTCCCCCAGAAAACAATTCGTGTTCTGTGTTCCTGCAGGCGTCCCAGATGATAGTGTCCTACGATGAACACGAGGTCAACAATACGTTCAAGTTCGGCGTGATCTATCAGAAGTTCAGGCAGGTGAGTAACCCCCGTGCTGTGCTCGGGGCGCGCATCCCCGCTGGCCGGCGCTCTGCATTCCACGAGCACGGGACCCCCGTGGCTGAAACTTGGCCCCACGGTCCGTGCTGTCGCACGCGACGCGTCGTGTTGCTGGGTGTCCTGGCTAATAACGCGCTTCTCCTTGCTCGCGTGTTTCCCTGACTCATTAAAAAATGAGGTGACAAAAAATTCAATGTGGGAATCAGCCCACAAGCTGCTGTGGGGGAAAGTGGATGCGAAAATGGATTTTAGCAGGCTTGGTGTTTCAATCAGAAATGAGATCCGACATTGCCACGGTTATGTCCGTCTTGGAGGACTCCGAATGGGGAGCGCAGAGGCAGCTGAGTCCTGTCGCTCGCCAGAGAGGATTCCGACAGGCACTCTCCTTATCTTTGCATATTGCGTTTTATTCTGGACTGAGTAACTCGTGCAGGACCATAACTAAGGCCTCATTGTTTTGAAATACAGCACGCGAGTGGTGATTAAGGCTTGGATGTTCCAAGGAAGGACTCACCTGCACTTTGCTATTTCCTGCGTGTGATCCCGAGGTCCCTTGCTTTTGGTTAGAAGTCGCACTCAGCAGCTTTGCCTTTGGCTGCCGTGGGGGCTGAGGGGGCTGTGACCGGCCCAAGGACGGTGCCGGTGGCCGACGGCGGTGGTGCCCACGGGGGAGCGGAGGGGGGAGCAGCCTGCGGCTGTGGGCAGCACCCGGGGACGAGCTGCTGGTCATGGCCCCAGGGTGGCACGCGGGGCAGGGGGTGGCAGGAGACGGGTGTGCAGGGCGAGGTGGCCCGAGCAGAAATCGCCGTGAGAGCCGGGGCGGGACGCGGGTTCCTTTCTCTGCTGCTGTGGTGCTTTTGCCAACAGCAAGGTTTGGTTTGAAGAAGATGCTCGGCACAGGGTGACGCGCAGGAGGCGCCTTTCAAAGGGACCGGTCACGTTGGTGGCCGCTGTGTCTGTAGCACCCGTAGCCGGACAGCGGAGCGGTGCTGGGGGCATGGGGCTGTCCCGGTGCGTGGCAGCCGCTGGGGACGGAGGCTTTGGTCAGGCTCGGTGATGCCGCGGTGACGGAGCCCGGGCCAGACCCTCCTCCTCCTCCCCCCGGCGCCGGCTGGGCGCGCTGGCTGCTGGAGCCAGGCAGGGCTGGGGCTCTCAAAAGATGCGCCCTGTGTTTTGTAGACCCAGGAGGAGGAGTTGTTCGGCAATAACGAAGAGAGCGCTGCCTTCAAGAGCTTCTTAAGTTTTCTGGGAGACACCATAACGCTCCAGGACTTCAAAGGGTAAGGGAAATAAAAGGGACGATTTTACAAACACGTTTAAGGAGAGACCATGGCACACGTAAGAATATCTACTGTGCGGGAGCAGAAGTCATCTCGCTCGTGAGCGGGAGGTGCGGAGCAGAAGCAGATACAGCTTTGGCTTGTTTTTCAAAGCTGGGGGAGTTTTCAAAAAAAATCTGAGCTGCGAAGAGAGAAAAACGTCCTTTCCTGCAGTTCTGAGGTTGGGTGAAAACCTGCCTGTAGATGAAAGGAGCTCCGTAGGGAAATGTGCCCTGGCCGGTGTCGCGGGCACCGTCCTGGTGCAGGCAGGGACCACCCGGCTGCTGGCGAGGGCCGGTGCCCACGGCTGCGGTGGGCTCTGCCGCACGCCCGCAGTTTCAGAGCGGTGGCAGCGATGCTCCGTTGCGGTCCCTGACACTCAGGTTGTTCCTTCCCGTTTGCTCGCTGCTCGATAAAGATAAACGAGCTGGTTCGTTCTATCGCTCCATCGCTGGTGGTCTCTGCTATGCTTCCCATTAATATTTCTTTGTTTCTCCCTGACTTTCCCTTCGTCCCTAGTTTTCGAGGGGGTCTGGATGTCAGCCATGGGCAGACGGGAGCGGAGTCTGTGTACACGGTGTTCAGGGACAGGGAGATAATGTTTCACGTCTCTACCAAGCTGCCTTTCACCGAAGGAGACACGCAACAAGTAAGGGGGACGAGCTTCCTTTGGCACATTGGCAATGACATCGTGGCCATTATCTTCCAAGAAGAGAACACGCCGTTCGTCCCGGACATGATCGCCTCCAACTTCTTGCACGCTTACATCGTTGTGCAGGTGGAAAACCCCGAGACAGATAAGGTGGCGTACAAGGTGAGGGGGGCCTCGGCTTGCGCGTGCTGGGTTTTTGCTGCGGCATCGCGGGCCGAGGTCCGGAGGCGGCTGCCCTGCCCCTCTGCTCTGTGATGGACCCAGTATGACCATTACGCCCAACTGGGATAGGTGTGCGTGTGTCAGCCATACACACGCATAGGTGTGCGCGTGCATTTATCTAGCGTGTGTGCCTACAGACATACGTGTATAAAACATATGCCTGTATAATAACATTTAGTGACGATTTTTGATGCTGCTCCGTATCTGAATAAGCCTCGGGACAGCTCGCACCAAGCGGGTGTGAGCCCGGCTTCCTCTCTGTTCTCCGTGGAGAAACGCGGCCACGTGGAACGTTTCAAACGGCGAGTGTGTTGCTTAGAGCCACAAATGCCAGCAGCGCTCACAGCGAGCCGATGCGAAAGGCCGTGCGTGGTTCCCC